GTTATGATCGAGGTCGCTCCAACGGAACGGGTTATGGTGATTCAGGCTATGGTGGGAGGGGTGGTGATTCAGGCTATGGTGGGAGGGGTGGACGTGGAGTGGCTTCTTCAGAGAGATCAAATGACGATCATGGTGTTTATCGCAGTTGGCATGATTCTTTTACCGGGTATTATGCTCATTTTTATTCAAAGAAATGCTCTGTTGTCGATTAATATCTTTATTATTAAATTCTGCAAACTTTGTACTTTTGATGATGCAATTTGTATCGCATATGTTTGAGAATTATCACTATCATCTTGTTGACAAATAGAAACATACTTCAGTACAGTACCATTAATCACATTACTGGTTCAACTAGACAGATAAGACTACCATGACCTTCCACCCTTGTTCCCCTAACCCGTCTTCAGTTAGATAAACTTGATATTGTATCGACGGATAATCGGATATGGTTGGATATCTGAAATCCTTCTTTCAAAATATGGATACTGGTACAATCAAATAGAGGTGGTAGATGTATTGAGGCCAAGTTTAGAGCCTATTTAAACCTACATTATGTAATTTGGATCATAGTCAATATGATTGTATACTTTCCCCCTTATTTTATTGTAAGAAAGGACATCAATTGCCGGCTGTAAGTCACGGTTAAATAATATTTGATCTGAACTCAGAATCAAATATTGAGTTCAGTGTCTAAAAATGTCCTCAATTTATATCCCCTCAAAAGGGAAAGAATACAACTATACAAGTATTGTAATACCCACATCCTCCCCATATCTGCTCAAGCTACTCTCTTAGGAAAGAATAAGTTAAACAGGTCCTTTTCAGGCTGGAAACCTGCTTGCGTAACCTGCATAAACTGCATCGTTTTTTTTATCTTGGATGCCGCCAACTAATTCTAATTTAATTTGAGACAACGATGTATAAATAATAACAATAGCAACTAATTCTCACTTGGCTGTTACTGTTATGTGAATATCTCAAATTGGATACTCAGAATTAGGGTACAATATGTCACAAATATGGGATGCATAAATTTAAAAGAGCACAAGGCTAATATAGATGTACATTTTACACATTATAAAGAACATGAGTCACATTATGTACATTTACAAACCATATCCATTGCTTTAGCAAAATTGGCCATGTATTCCTAATTTGCGATTTACCCTTGCTAAAATTTCTATGTTATATCATATGGTTACCCTTGCTAAAGGTGCTATGTATATCATTATGGTTTCAGCTATGATCGTGACCGTGACAATAAAGAAAGAATTCATATAGATGAAAGAGCACATCAAGAGTCCAAGCCCGTCTCTAGAGTCCGGAGCAATAGCTGCAGCCCGAGTCCGAAAAGAGGACCTTCTGGGTGGGGCCGGAATCAGAGCAGGAGCAGGAGCAGGAGCAGGAGTCGGAGCAGGAGCATTGACCGGTATGGAAAGCCAACAACAGAAAACAGACACTCACCCATTCGTGATCAACCTTCTCGTCGTTCACCTGCATCGTATGATGATGGAGAGATCAGAGATGATCAACTTCATCGCTCAGAAATTCCAAGTGACGATCCTGCCCCTTATGTTGATAACGAACGGCGAGAGGCTTCTCCTAGTCCTATTAGTTGGCATCAGAAATTTCAGAAGCCTAGGCCATCAAATGATGAACCTGTTCGACCACAGAGATCAGCCACTGGTGGTGATGAAGCAGAGGAAGGGATGATTATGCCGGAAGAGGAAGAAGGAATGATACATCCGGATGAATGATTCCACCAAGTGGGAATTAACCCATCTTAGGTTACCGGCGTTTATTTTGGATATGTGGTGTCACCTAGGCTCATAGTATGGGTCCATTTTGTCATCAGCAGTGGGTGCTGTTATATTTTGGATGTATGTAATATCACCTAGGCTCATAGTATGGGTCCCATTTTGTTGACAGCAGTGGCTGCTGTTGGAAACAATGCAACGTTTACTCTAGTTGTGTACTTACTGTACTTTGTGCTCAGCCTTTTGATGAAGCCTTTGTTCCGAGGCTAGAAGAGGAAGCTTTGCTCTTAATTTTTTTGTTTGTGCTCTGATTTAGTAGCGACTTTAGCAACTCAATTCTTTTCTTTTTTCCATGACAGTCGACTCCATCAATCAAAATTCTAGTGCGGAACTGAATGAGGATGAGCTCACGCAAATTCCCATTAAAATACGGGGCGTGAGCTAACAGCCTAACAGCGAGCCGTGTACTAGCAATCATGTGGATCTTGCCGCTCATTTAACCGTTTGGCTAAATGAGCGTCCAGAATACCATTATACGATACATCTTCATATCCAGAATACCATCATACGATACATCTTCATAAATACTGAAGATATCCTTGAATGTATGACAACACAAAACTGATTGAAAACTTAGCTGAATAGGGCGGTTTATGGATGACTCGATGTAGCAGCGTACATTTTCTTCTGTTTTGTATTTCCGATTTCATTGTGTTGCATACGTGCTGTGACGTTGGATTGAATCCACTTGAATATTGCTCATCTTTGCATGCGTACGAAATGAAATCCATATAGAATTCAAGCGGATAATTTCAGAGGCTTTATTAAGTAGATTAGGCAGCCTCCACCTTGAGATTCTGAGTGTGTTTGGGAAGGCTTACTTTTTTAAAAGCTTATAAGTTATGATAGTTTTTTTAATGACATTTAATTTTTATAATAAAAATATTATAGAAATTATTTGAGTAATATAGCAATTTGTTTGGTCAAACCTAGCTTATTTAGGTGAGCTTATAAGTTAATTTTTCAAATGCTGAGGTATACCAACTTTTTAAAATGTGACTTATAAGCCAATTTATTTTGTATTTTACTGAACGGGTAGAAATAAAAAAACTAGCTTAAACAAAATAAGCCACCTCAACAACCCTCTGTAGACCTAGTATGACTATCGGTGTGCAGTTCTACAAACGAACGTATCAGATGTCCTCATAGGCCTGTTATTTGCTGCAGACTAGCTTGCTTGATTCCACTAACAAATGAAACCACGAAAGAAGTGAAAAAAAATGACAAGGGCTTTTCATCGGTCACTCTGAGATACACAACTTGAAAATTGATAGAAGCGGCAAAAGGAAAAACAAAAAACAATTGGAATCCCTAAACAAAGCCTAAACATCCAGACTCGATCAACTCACTTCTCAAAGTAACAGGGAAAAAGGAAAAGTAAAACGAGGAGCCGCAGCTACATGCTCACAAACTACACTCAAACACATAATTATGCAGTCTTTGGCTTGATTCTCTTCAGCTGTGAATACAGGAAAACTCCAGCAAGAGCCACTCCAGTCCCTGCAAGTGTAGAACATAATTATACTATGGTCTATGTCATACATAGTGAATGGTGAAGGCTAAAAATGGAAGAGTCATTTTGTACCAAGAGTGTTGATGGGAGAAACAGGGGTCCTGAAGAAGAGGACTGAAGTCACGATGACCACCACCCTCTTCACACAGTTGCCAACAGAGTGGGTAACTGGTGAAACTCTAGATAGAATCATATATGAAACCTGTAATTATTTTCGGAAAACAAGTTAGACAAAATGTCATAGAGTTGAGCAAAAACAGATAAAAGCATGCAAGCTACATATACATAAAAAGAAAATGACGTGTATCTGAAACGTCTAACCCTAAGTGTAATCTTTTTCATTTTATAAAATCTTCGTTAACTTAGACTCTGTTTGCGAGTATTTTGAGGTTATACTTGATGAATAATAATGCAGATTTGAACTATACGATAATCAGTATATTGTACATGATAATGCTCAATTAGATAGGTTAACTAACCTCATGCCACTTTCATATATAAGTGGCAACATCATTATTTACTCGCTAAAATCATATATGGCAAAACATTATCTAATTTCATATTGTATAGCTCAACAGTCCCCTCTGTTAATAGAGGAAAGTCTTTTCCATGATCAACAAAGTCCAAGTCCAATATGATGCCCTTCTAATGCAAGGTGCAATTCCTAAAGAAAGGTTTCAGGATTATCCATGTTGAACATTTTAGTCTTGGGCTTGCTGGGAAAAAGAAAATAAATAAATCTCTTCCCACTACTTGCATATAATACCATTCCAATGCGTTATACATCTTTGCAGAGTTGGCATGGTATTAAATTAGAATTTCTTGATATCATAGCCCGAGAACTACAGAAAAATATGTTACATAATAGTTCAAGACAAACTATGTAAATGGTTTTGAGACCTTGTAAGCCTCACTAGAATTAGAAAGACGCATGTGACCTTTGACACTTTCTAGAAAAGAAACTAACAGGAAAGAATGCATCTTTGACAATCATTACATTGCAGTACAGATTCACCCTCCAGTTCTTCTTATCCATATTTTCAAAATATGTGATGTGCATACTAACAGCATTTTATGCCTCATTGATTCGCTAAAGTTACCAGTTAAAACTAGTAATTGCATGGTTCTATAAATCATATCTTTATTAACTTTAAGCAATAAAAAGCGAGAAAAAACTCAAATACCATACCTGTTGATAAGCATGAAAACATAACCCAGCAAGAAGTGACCTTGTATATATCTGTTGAAGATTCAGGCCCTGCATGGTCCAAACACAAGCGGAAGACAGCATCAAGAAATGTTAAATGTGTGCAGATGTAGACACGGCTGAACATTCAGACATAGAACGTCTCAATATATTTCTAGCATCATACTAACCACAGATTGCACATATGCAGGAGTGAACTTGGTGCCTTCCACGAATAAGGTCACAGGGGTTAACAGGAAGAACGACATGATAGTTATAATGGAGAAGAGATTTATGTTGTCCAGCGATTCCTGTTTAAGAACAGATTATAGGTCAAGAAAATGAAAGCTAAGAAATTGAGCAAATTGCAATAGCCTCTCTGTACTAATCCCACATTAGCTACAATATTATATCTTAAATTTTAAATCAATGATCCACTCGATCAAAGCACGTGCTATTACGTTGAATCACAATTACTATAAGAGAAGCTTAATTACCTCTTTCTTAACCATGACCTTTTTGCTAAGCACATTACGTGACTGGAAGGTCACATTCGAAGCCATTGCACTCCAAAATCCAGCCCTGTATTAAAGTCGGAAGAGTCAAAATGCTTAATATTAAGTTTAAACTTCATTCAAGAGGAAGTACAACAACTGTTCCATGCAAAAATGTACTTATATGATATTATATTACTTTAGCTAAATTTAGTTTGCGAATGATCATTTACCAGTTAAAAGAAGCTTCAGACATGGATGCCAAAGCTACACCACCAACAATAGGCAGGAGAGAGAGCACCACCCAGGGAGTAGGCATCTGCATAGAGATTTAATTAATAAAAAATGGAGAATAAGAAAAATATCAAGCTGCAAGCACTTTCTATAATGAAGAGCATTGTGTCTTGGTTCTCAAGCACATGATCGGCATCAACATAAAGATATAGTCATTTTACATAGACTACAACATGCATGATATATTAAAATTCATAGAGCTAGATGTACTAGGGAAAAAAGATAAATGGAAAAAAAATTGCTTTAGAATTGGCTTATAAGCACAAGATCAGTATTAGGGATAACCACTTCGTGTTATGGTATTTGGCACATCTTTTCACTAGCTCATGCATACATATGTTACCTTCTTTCCAGTTATGAGAGATTCTTTAGTATGCCAATCTTCAAAGCTATTTTAAGACACCTCTAATTTTTACCATTACGATGCCGATAACAAATTTATAGCTAACCAATCTTTCGATAGCTTACAGAACCATAGTCCTTGATATAGGATACATGCAAGATACTACTTTAAAAAAATATGATTTAGTTCAACGATAAATGACTCTAGTGGCAACTTGCAACAATATCTCTTAAGAGGCCATGCCCTCCACATGATCAAATGACAAAGTATATAGCATGGAGAATCGCATGACGAATTTTAAAAGTAGTGAACAGGGAATATACCTAGAATAAAAAAGGTCAATTACACCAACTACAAGAATCTTGGAAGGAAAGAACTAAAGAAAAGAAACTCTAAAATTCCCTTTACGTACAAAAGTTAAAATTGGTTTTTTAAGGAACTGTCAATTTGCTTTAACAAAATAAATTTGGATAGAGAAATTCACCTCTCCAAGGAACAGGGCAGATAGAAGAACTGAAAAGAAGGGCTCCATAGCTTTGATTGTGTGGGTGAATGAAACAGCAACTTTGCCCAGACTCATATTGGTGAAAAGATTACCCATGGTATGGACTGCGGCCAATGGTAGAATTGCCATAAGCTGCAGGAATGATATTTCAAAATTTCCGTAGAAGATTATTATGCGTAAAGATACTCATCTAAGATAGTATGTATGTAAAACACATGAACTTACCTGTGAAGAAGAAATCTTAGGTCTCTTGTAAAGGTTTGTCATCCACATAAAAAGGATAAGGACTGTTCCAACAGCAAATTGAACTGTTGTCATGGTCATGGGGTAGGGAAAAACTTTCAGGACCTGTGAAAGAGGAAGAAGTAAGTATGCTGCTTTCTAACTGGATCACCCGACAAGTAAAGGAAAATAGCTAAATATCATGACAAGACATCAAATACGCTTAAGAATAAGGGATCATATCACAATCCAACATTAGGAAAATGATCTACTTAGCTTTTATCTGCAACTTTGAATTACGAGGATTGTTAATGTGGAATTTCCATTCTGTATTACACTGACATTATGTTAATCACTGAAAAACGAAAATAGCCTTGCATTGTTGCATCTTGTCATTCTTCTTTTTGAGAAGGCTCCTAGTTACAGTTGAGAAAGATAAATTCATTATATCATGCCACGATTATCCAATAAAAATGACCTAAACTTAAGATTGACTGTACTAGTGTCTCTGAAAGATGCAATTGCAGCTCCAGGAAAGATTATCTAGAGCAATAATGTTCTATTTTTCTCTCAATTATATGTTATTTAAAACTTGGTACGCCACATCCGAAAGATTTTGTCATCAAGTAGCCAATATGAACTTCTTTTTTACAATCATCCTTAATAATATAACTTTCAGATCTCATGTGATTTTCATCCATTTACAAAAAAATAATGGAAACAAGTATGAGACTCACAAAACCACTAGAAATCATAAAGATTAACGTAACAATCCGTACATAAACATTGTGCATAAGATAATCAGGATGGAAGTAACTGTAAATTTGAGTTACTACGATAATCAGGATGGAAGTTAATGTAGATGTGAGTTACTACGTCACTTTAAAAACTTTAAGAAGTATTAAAAGTTTACCACTATAGAACAAGAAAGAGCCACTTGACCTTGATAAAACAGGGTATAAGTATATGAATAAATCTTAGTGTTCAGAGGAAAACTAAACAGGCTCCAGAATCAAAAAGGAGAGGGGGTAAAAAGGCATCAAAGAAGCAAACAGACTAATCAAGAAACATCCAGACTCTGCCGCCAAAAATGGTCCTTTCAGTTATCAAATCATCAAAGCTATGGAATATACAATAGATTCACAGTAAAAAGAAAAGGAGGAAGAAGAGGTCCAAAAAAAAAGAGGAGAATTTTCAGAGAATGAAAATAACAAATAACACATATTCATAAATTAAAGGTAAGCCTACTTTTACAATGTTAATATCGTTGACAATATTCGAAAGTGAGGTAAGTTTCAAATCGGAAAGAAACAGTAATCAGGTTTTTATATCACAACAGTTGCGCAAACACAAACTTTCCAACCAATAAATTTTTGAAACGATCTTTCTAAACTAACGCTAATAAAGAAAATAAAACATGCACAATGAAGATAGCTGGCAGCTAAATCATAACGAACCATCATTAGATTGAAAACTAACAAATAATAACAAAATGCCATAAAATCCTTAAATCAAGGTATACAAATCTAGATCTACTCAATGCCTAAATTGAAGGGTTCAGCCTCTAAAATCCTACCAGTGAGGGCTAAACATCGACAGATCTAGAGAAATTACCTGCTTGTTGTAGATGTTGAAGTAGATATTGAAGAGATACCACAAGCCAAACATCGCCCCAAGCTGCAGCGTCTGAATCAGCGCGCTGCCGTCGCTCTTCTCACCGGAGTTCTCGCCGGCCGAAGATCTGACGGCGAACTCACGATCTGACGGCGTAGGGAGAGGGGAGATCGAGAGAGGCGACTGGAAGCGAGAGGAGGAGGAGAGAGGGGAGAAGGCGCCATTGATGGAGATCGGTTTGGGACTGAAGGAAGATGAAGAGAGAGCGGCGATGGGATGAAATCTAGGGTTAGGGTTAGGGTTTAGAGATGATCGGGATGGAGGTCGGAGCTTGAGGAGAGGGGCTGAAGGAGAGAGGGCGACGGCTGCGCTCTGCATTTTTTGTTCTTCTCCTTTTTCTCTTTCTCTCTCTTCGCTCCGAGACTGTGTTCGGTTGGCGTTTAAGTATTGGTTCACTTTTCACTTAGAACCCTCCGTTTGTATAAAATTTCATTGTATGAAACTCCATTTCCTCTAGATACTAGATAGTGCCCGTTATGATAATACCTCTAATACAAAGTGTATTTTCAATTAACGAGATTTAATAATAAAAAAAAGGATTAAAATAATAAACTTACGTAAGAAATCATAGCAATAAAATATACTCCGAGTCAAGAGCGTACAATGCATACCCTTTTTATTTATTTGTCATTTAAATTCCTATCTAAGTATCAAAGTCAAATTTTCCAGACAAAATTATTCTTTAGAAAGATGATTTAAATTTCTAAACTGATTCAATTAGTGTAACTGGACTACAGATCACATTTCAGCTTTAGACAATTCTTTACTTTTCCAAATTCCGCTCCAGTTGTATGCCGAAGGGGTAATTTCCTCTCCTTTAACAATTAATTTGGATTGGATGGATACAAGATGAATAATTTCAAGCGAAAGGCAGAAGAAGGTTTCCACAACGATGTTAATGTGGAAGGACTTCGATAGAAATCTCGAAATTCGTTGCACGTGTTTTGACGTCCACGTGGCTTACTGATGCGCAGGCTGTACTGGTATTGTCCGGTATATTCAGCAGCAATTGGAGAGATTTGGCGGAGAGGCACACGAGTCAAGGCGACGCTAACGAAGCTAGAGACTGTGGAGAGCTCCACCCATATTTGTGCACGTGGGTCCAATCTAGTTTTGCGTTTCATAAAATTTTCTCGACTTTTCCGCCAACTTTTTTAGATCCCCATTTTAGTTTTTGTATTACAAGTATATATCACACGTGAGTTGCACGTGACGTACTTGGTTTAAGAAGCATTAGTAAATGATATATTCTGCATTATTGATTCTTAAATACGTGCTTACGATATAATATTTACTTATAGCGTATTGATCCTTAATATATCATGCACGAACGCTACGGAGGCCACTAAATAAAAAAATAAATATTAAATATCTAGCATCTTGTTGGATTAACAGCCAAAATTATTATTAGATGTAAAATTACAAAAGCTATAATAGTAAGATGGAATCACAACCGATATAAGATATTATTTGAATAGCTAAGTTCGCGGAAATTGTATAGGCCAATTCTTTAATCCAAATTAAAGAATCTCAATCAAGAGACAAATTAATCTGGATTTTGTATAAAAAATTTAAATTTTTATTTGATCCAATCATATATATAATATATAGCTTTGTGTATTATGATTTACTGATCGAGTAGAAGATAGATAAACAATATGTTTTATTAGTTAATCTTTGTAGCTTAAAGTTGATAGGAACAAAAAACTTATTAGTGATTAATCAAAAAAGAAGACAAAAAATTATTATTCAACATAATTATAATGAAAGAACATAAAAATGCTTAATATAGGTAAGAAAATCAAAAGGATAAAAAACAGCGAAAGCGTTGGATAAGCTGATAGCACCTCTAAACTTAAAGTGCATATGAACGAAGTAATTAGTTAAGAATTTAAACATGAGTACATCTCATGAACATAAAGCGCAACTTATGATCTATATTCAAAAGAAAAAGCACAACATATGATAAGTGGCACAAAAAAACTCTCTACAACATTGTGCAAGGAGGAAAAATCCTTAAATAGCTTTGCATTAACTCCAAAATAAGATCGTACATCTCTTTCTAAGTATTAAAAGATCAATGAGAATCTTACTTGATCCATAGTTAAAAAAAAGCACACAGTAAAAACAATCTTTGGCTCCCAAATCAGATTTATGCGTACTCTTAAATATCAAGACTTCCAAATAATAATCTTTCTATAATCTATTATCCTTCTCTTTTTCAAGGATTCAAGAGACAATATAAATCAAGATCTAAGAATTAAACACGAGACATAGTCTCAACTTTATAAAAACATAAATCTTTAAGCCTACAAACCATGTGACAAATATTATCTAAAGTATGCACGTGCACATACATATACAAGCCACGTACACTATAAATCATTCGATAATCTTTTCATATAACATATTTCATAAACCATTTTGTTGGTGTAGCACTTTGGCTTAGTAGGTGATGCGGCGGATTGAAGAGAATGGATGGCCATAAGTTATACTATAGAGATGAAAAAGAGGTTATGTCAAGGGAAAATGAAAGAGTGGTTAATTAATTGGATCTATATCATATGCATTTAATTAAATAAGTTATGGAATCTCTAAGAGCCTAAGACACTAATTAAATCTTATCATCATGATGACTTGCAATTAATATAATATAATTTAATTTAAGACGGAGACTTTGAGATGAATTAAATTAAAAAATAATCAAAGTAAAGTTGGAACTATCAAATTTAAAAGGGGGTAAGAGGGGCAATCAAAAGTTTTAGCATCCTAATCTTTTTTCATGTGTAGCATGGACTATTCATGAAAAGTTTTAAATCAACCTTCACTTCTTTTTATGGAGACATGTTCGTGTTTTCTTCGATTGTGGGTTGGTGTGGTGGGTTGGTAGGATGTCAAGAAAGGGTCCTAGCAGTCGAACTCCACTTGCCACTCTGATTCTGGCTCCCCCTAACCAAAATTTCCTTGTAAAGGGAAAAATAAATAAAAGTAAAAATACACCATTGCATGTTACACTCTGACCAACACACTTCAAAGGAGAGGTGATGGATTCAAGCATTTCATCTCAAGACTGGACAGTCAGAAACGCGTCTGATAAAATTGTTCAAAACTCCGCACGGCGATTAATAAAACAAAATACCTACCAAGATGTTCGTAATGCATGGGAATGTGGATTCAGCTGGGCATAAGCATCTGATAGCATATTAAAAGAACATGCAAATCCTTTTTCACCTCTATGGAACCTTTCTTGCGTGTTGCTAAATATTTTATTAAAAAGAGAAGATATGACTCATTAGCCAACAATACAGAAAGTTCCTAAACCAAAGGCGTTCACTTTATTACCTTCACATTATTATCACACGCATGTCATCTTTTACAAAAGAATTGAATAAAATCACCTCTCACAATATCCCAGAATACAAGGCATCTGTTACAACTCATGCCAACAATACTATGAACAACAACAATTCTCATTACAGTGACTACAAAGAAGTGTTTGGCAAAGAACCCATCAATATCACAGGATTGCTGTTCTTAGGCCTAAACATTTTATCTGCTTTTTCCTTCGAAAAAATCTCAGATAGAAGACCAGATGATAAACTTGAGCCAGCGGGCTCAATTGCTCGGTCTGATGTCCTTTGACTGCTGCCTTTGAGCTTTCCACAAGGACAGCAGCCCATGAGTTTGACGAAGCATGGCTTGTGGAAGATAGACCCACATGAAGGACATTTCTCCGCTTCAGCTTCCTGCTTATTAGACAACAAAGATTCTTAGGGGCTGTTTTGTTTGGGGCAAAAAGAAAGTCTGTCAAATGTCGTAGCAAGAAACCTACTTCAAATCAATTGTTTGGATATTTGCAATTTCTATGTGGAAAATATATTTTCATTGCAAATGCACTGTTCAGTCAAAAACATTCGATGCAAAAGCTATAAGATTTGTAATTCCAATAACATTTTTGACAAGTCAAATTTGCATTTTATGTTTTAATTTCCTTTTTGGAATCCCCAGCATTTGTTGTAACCAGATTGCCCGCAGCACTTGCTGCATTGTTTTCTACAAGTTGTAAGTTGACCTACTTTTTCTAATAGCAATGTTGGCATGTTGCGTCTGCAGTAATTATTTCTGCTGCTTTATTTCCATTCCACCAAACAAACTCCTAGAGTTGAAAATTGGAAGTGATTTAATTGCTCATGAATGTTTGGCTGATTAGTAAATTACACTTGTTAACAAGGGTTTTTGTTGGCAAGATGCAGAGAAAATCCTAAAAGTTGGTTGAGTAATAACACATTTACATTTTTTGACACCACCTAGTATCACCCAAAGAACAAAAGGAACTTTTACTCTTGAAATTTGTTAATATTGCCCAAAGAAGAAAAAGAATTTTAATCTTGAAATCCATCAAATTTCAAAATAAAGATACTTCAGATTTTCTTCCCCCGAGTAAGGGAGTGAGATAAAGTATAATGGCCAGAGTATAAACTCCAAACGTGGCAAAAGAGTCATTTTGAAATAAAATAATCAGAATTCAGCATAAAAGAAGAGCAGAGGGAGGAAGTGAGAGACCTGGAATGGGAAAATGAGGGATGCGGGTTCATCACAATCTTGTCGGCCAGCACAAGGGATACCAGAGTCATAGCACACAAGGCATTGCTCAGTGATATGCTCGAGGATTTTGTTTGAAACTGTCTCTACCATATTTGGGAGAGCTGCCATTGGAAGGGGGAAAAAGCGTCACGTAACATGCATTCTACAGTTTTTATCTCCATATATATCTCTGAAACTCGTAAACTCGTTTAAGCGGCTGAAACACAAGAAATACCAGCGTACAAGAAAGCTAGACTTCAACCAACCCAAAAAAATTTCCTTTTCTTAATTTTTTTGGGAGATTGTAATGGAAAAGTTTCATTAAAAAAGCGAGGCTTTTTCCTTTATTCCTTTTAGTTTAAGTAGTTAGTAGGCTACTAACCTTGAGAAAGATAGATCATCTAAAAACATTGTATGTCTCACTCAAAGAATCTGGTTATGCTATACAGCAGGTAAGATTCATTAGATGTTATAATTTTTATGTAGTTCTTGCAAGAGTTTTGCACTATAAATCTAAGAAGCAATTTTTTTAGAAGAAGCCCCATGAAATTTTTTTGGCAGAAAAGTCCAGGGAAGAAAAAGTGTATCTTACAGTACATATTGGTATAGGCTGATTTATTAAACTGTGCTTATTGCTTAACATGAATAATAAGCAAAATGATGAAGCTATGATCAAGTACGACAATTAATTTTACAAAATCCTTGGTTCACATTCCTCCCTCCCTCTCTTTATCTCTTCCCTTTTCCTCTCCTCCATTCCTCTTCATACACTCTCTCATTTCCTTCTGTTTCTCTTTTTAGATTGAGGACTACTTTTGTTTCTGTTTGGTCTTTTTTTTGGTTAGTCTCTCAGTTTCAAATCAAAACTAGCTGCAACTATACCAGAACACAACAACAAGGTTATTGCTATACCAAAAGGTTCAAAAGCCAAATCCATAACTAATATAACATATCACCCCTGGTCAGCATGTTAGAGACCTTTGACCAATATTATCCACAATGACAAAGAAGAAGTATAATTCCCATAGATTACCCAAATAAAACAGCCTTATATGTTTTTAATATTACCTGCAAATGCCCCTTTGGAGAGATCAACAAGGTCCCGGAGTGCAAAAAAGTCATTGCTCTCAAGAAGATATCTGCGAACACCAAGGCTTCTTTGAACAGCTTTCCGAAATGGACAACGGACATATGGAAGCATTGCTCCTATTTTCTTCCTGATACCCGTAACATGAAACAAAGCCGGCACTTTGGGAAACAGAAAAGGATTGACGGCACTCACACAAAGCATGGGCTGAAAAGAAAAGTTCATCACATCTAAGTTTGCAAGCTAGGAAAGATAACTCATGTCACAGATATAAGCTGCCATCCTCACATGATTCAAGTCCTAAAAAGCTTGAATGGAGAAGCAATTCAACTTAACTATAGTCCAAAAGGAAACATAGACATGGATACCCAAAAAAAATTGCAGTACTATCACCTGGTCATATATAGATTCCAAATATGCTTTAGCCAATTGAGACACTGGATATAAAGAAAAATCCCAGTGATGTAGGACTTTCGCAGGCAGAACTATAGTATCATTTGTATGGCATGAAGCACAAAACAACTGACTGGTGTATTCACAAAACCGGGGCTTGTTCCATCCAATAGTCTGTACAATTTCTCGTAGTAGGGTCTTTCCAGCATCCAACTGTCTATGGCAACCAGCACACATGTAATGCTGGGCTTCTAGTAGTTGTCTCATAGATTTATGAGGTTTTATTTCAACCACAAGGGAAATGGTCTTTCCCAACATGGAAATATTTTTAGAAGAAGACAAACTAAATGACTTCAAAAGTTGATCCTTCCCAAGCTTGTGCAGAGATTGAGGAACAAGGGATTTTAATAAGCTAGAGTTAGGAAAGGGTTGGCCTGGGGATAAAAAAGAAACCATCGAGCTAGGAGTTCCAAAAGAGTATTTGGAGTTCAAGATAGACTGCAAGCAATCTTGAATAAGAATACTTCTCTTGCTGATAACATCTGGAGAAGCATTCCCGAATATTTTCCTGGATTCCTTCTCAACTCTGGACCATGGAGGAGGAAGGCTCAGGCCAAGGTCCATGAAGAAAGCATATAGCTGACGGTAAAGACCAAAGAAATCACGGTAACGGCGCTCAACCTCCCATTGATCCTTATCACTCCATACTCGCAACTTGTATATTGTATATTCTTTGACCCCAACTAGCCTTTCCCCCAAAGAAACATCTCCCTTTTTTTGTTTTGCACCAATAACCTCAACCCGATCGATGTTTGGAGGATACTGAAGAAGGGGATATACATCATCAGTTCCAGAAGTAGAAGCAGTCGAACTGCCATCTCTGAAATGCTGAGAATGAGGAGTTTTATAACCTCCATTTGAATTAACGGACCTAGATCCATGTGAGTTGCCTGAATCCAGTAAAATCTCCTCCATTTCAAGAACCATATCATCACAGGATTCAGAGTTGTCCACGTTCTTGACCTGTTATACATAAGCAACAGACATATTAGTACTTTAGAAGTAAAATAAAAAACTTTAAAACTCAAGTCAAATATATCATATGGATTTTAAAATTAGCAGGGAAACAATTTCCATCATATTTGAAAGTAAGGTTAGCGTACTGATTTCAGAAATAAAATAAAGCTTCATATAGAAGCAAAGAAGACAAAATGAAACACATTTGCAAGGGGGAAAAGAATAAAAACGATAATAACATTTTGGTCAATAGTTAAGCAACAATGAGATAGATAAGGTGGTTAATTACATTACTAAGATAAGGCAACACAAATCAGATTTTAAGATGATGGCAAGTTGTCTCCAGTTAACAAATAAATATTTAATGATCAAAAGTTAGGAAAATCTTTATCAATTTGTCCATGGAAACATGTCTTGTACTCAGAGAAGATAGAAGCATTGAAAAAAGACTTACAACAAGATGAGGTTACCATCATCATCATCAAGGAAACGGGAATCTCTCCCATCAAATTGAGGCGTCTTATCAAGCATAATCCAAAGTAGAAAAGAAAGATCCGCAAGATAAATTACAGAGTTTTTATATGTTCAATTGTCAACCTAACACCCACACACTTTTTACTGACAAAATTCTAGCATGACCAAAGACAGCCATAAGACACTAAAGATATTTTATAAGTTGTAAAGCAGAGGTGAAACCTTGAATTCCTCTGGACTCCTCTAAATAGGGGAATCAGAGTATGGATAAGATCAAAAACTAAATGACACAATTTAGATATATGATATACACCTAACAACGATAGTGTAGTTACAAACATTAAAAAGAGATGAATGTGCTTCATGGCTGGATACCAATAAATACAATGCTTCATATTCTAATTTCTGAAATTCTGGTAAAATCTAGTTAAGCTTGCATGTAAGAACCAATAAAATTGTCGAGATTCTGTAATGGAGGAACATCTCTCTCATGACCTGGAAACTCCTGTTTAGGGAACTAGCATTCAACCCGGAATCAGTTCATAAAAGCATCTTATTCCAAATTTAATAAATGACCAGGATACCTCCAGAGGAACACTGTAGGTTTCTTACACGAGGTTTCCTGGGTTGGATCTGACTACTAAATAAATCATAGAAAATCATTGTTAAAGATTTGCTTAATGCAAATGTACAAGTGCCTAAAGAGAATGAAATTGAGGCCCATGTGTTTGTGAGTGTGTGTGCATGTGGTTATCCATGCTAAGTCCCCCCACCCCCCACCCCAAGTAGCCTTGTCTTTGTAGGAAATGCAGACCTATGAGGCAAGAATGTTATAAGCCAAAATGATATTTAAATCATGACAACAGAGCTTTAGGAGGAGGCAAGACAGTAGACAGCCTTTGGCACCAAATACAACAGCTTGATTGATAACACTTCAGTATATCATCCACCAAACTGTTCTAAAACTGTTCTAACTTATGGATGCTTTTTTACAAATTTCCCTTTTCTTGTCCTACAACTAACTCTCGAAGTCATAGGGACCCTTATATACCACCATACCAGAGCTCCTTCTAGTTTCCATCTCATAGGGGGTTATTCAACTGG